CAGTGCCTTGGGTGGTACTAGTCTTTATGACAGGCTCGTATGTAGGACTCTTCGGGTTTAGAGCAGATCCCTTCTTGACTTCCTCGGGAGGTGGTGGCTTGATTTCAATAGCTCGAGAGCGGCGGCTCGCGGATCCTGGAGGGGAATGAGGCGGGTTCGTCGCGGTAGGAACAAAAGGTGGTGGCTCCGCAGAGAAGGTTGACAGCGGGCCAAAAGGCTGAGGCTGGGGTTGATAAATCGGCATGGGCGGATACGGCGCCGCGAAGGGGTACATGGGAGGAGCAAACGGTTGCTGAAATTGCGGTCCGAAAGGCGGCATGGCTCTTGGGTCTGCATTCGCGCCGGAGAAGGCGCCATGTTGAGTGGTGCTGTTGTCTGACTCGACCGCCGTTATCTGCTTTCGAAGTGCGTCAAGCTCGACGATGAGGCACCGCTTCTTCTCGATCATACCCGCACGCCATGTCTCGCTCTGCTGGCCTGCTTGCAGTACCTCAGTCTGCTCTACCGTGCGGAGCTCCTGCTTCTTGAGAGCTTGTTGCGTCTTGAGAGTCGCGAGGTCCAAGCCAACAAACGGTGTATGGGTGTTGGAGCGCGATGGTCCGAACGCGGCTCCCGATGGTGCTCCATGAGTGGTCATGGTAGACGGATCCGGCATCTGCTTGCCTATGGGATCCATAGTAGCGGGGCCGACGGGAGGTACCGTAGGATTGGTTGCGTTGACTGCTGGTAGTGCAAACATGCGATCGCCAACGAAGATGACAGGTTGACCTCCGACGACTTCAATGCGAGCGGTGTTGTTGGGGTTCTGGTGAGTCGGGGCTTGCATAACGTTGCCTGGTGCGACGCGCAGTGATGGTTGTGGTGGTCTGTAAGTAGCGTCTCCGTATCGGGACGTGCCGAGCGGTGGAAGGTCGCTAGGAACTATACGGCCACCTGCAGTGACTCGTATACCGGGTGGGCTGCCGTGCTCTTTGAGAAGCTTCTCCGCCTTGCCGCGCTTGATTGACGGCGTGGGTGATGGCCGTTTGTGAGGTCCGAAAGGAACAAGATTGGCTGGAGTGGGTACACGCAAGCTTCTGTTTGATGCTCTGCTGGGCAGATTCGCCGATGCGGACGCTGACGGGCGAAGGACGTGTTCTAACGAGAAGCGCAATTAGTTACTGCTCGTTGTGTAGCAGTAGCAGGAAGAAAGGAAGGCTGTGAGCCTAGCGATAGAAGAGTGTGATAGAGTCGGTCGGGTGTAGTGTGAGTAGGGTAAGGAAACACAAGACGCGTCGGGTATGATGTTCCTCGATAGGGAAGGTGAACGGTGAAAAGTGAAAAGTGAAAGGGTGAGGAGAATAGGCCCGGCACTGACCTCTGATCACATCCTCATCAGGAAACTTCTCAATCGACACAGCTGATTCCGACACCGAGTCGCGAAGTGCGAGCAGTTCATCCACCCTGTATGCGAATGACATCATGGCCGGTCCGTCACCCTATAGGTGTACCGAAGGCAACGAGCCGCGGACCTGATTGAGCCGTTGGTATTACGGGGCCAATGAGATGTCGAGCCGGAGACACGAAGAAGACTGAGATGGTGTGATGCGAATATCCTGTCGCCGTTAGTGCTGGTTCTCGACTCCACATACTGCTGTGATGTTGCATGCTCGTGTGGTAGAGGATATGTAAGACAACGACGTACCTCAAAGCTGATCGATGCGAGCCAAGGTGAACAAGCGAGCGACAGCTATCCAAAAAGCCGAAGTGCAGCAATGCGAAAGAAGAAGACGCGGAACAAGAAGATGGAACCAAAACGAGTGTGTGTTGAGGAGTGGACGAAGACCGGTGTTGGGTAGGTTGTTATAGCCCGCATCCTGTCGCGACTTCTCATCGAATAGCCGATCGGAGCTGGCCATTGAGGAAAGAGATGACCAAAAGACGGCGTAGGAAGGGTTGAAGAGAAGCATCGTGAGATTTGTAGAAGTGGGGATGCGGACAAGCGCAGCTTCCAGGTGAGATAATTGAGGAAAGAGCGGTCGACACACCTCGGTGTTGGACCCCGGCGTGAACAAGTGCGACTGTGACATCATAACACCTAATGCAAGGAGGAGGAAGACTTGGAGTGAAGAGGTCGCATGGCTCTTTCAAAATATGCAAACACTTACGATACTCTTCACTTTTTTGAACTCTCGTAAATGTAGACGGTTAGACATGTTTCCTGCCTGAACTCTGGTATACCTAGCTGGAAACCCCTAGACGCCTTCGCTATGCTCTGTACTAAATCAAGTACGCCGTTTTGCACCACCTCTTCCCCACAGTTTTTACCTTGCCAGTCATCTGTATGTCGATGAGATGATCTACCTCCTGCGAGTAGCCCTCGCACTGGGAGGGGGCGCCGACTCGAAAGCATCATCAGACTCAATCTCATCATCACTCTGCACACATGTTAGCAAATGTCAACCCATCATCAAGTATCATCTTCACTTACCGGCTCCTGCACAGCCTTCTTTCCTCTCGAAGCCGCAGGTCGCGTGGGCTGACTGCGTTGCGTGAGCGGCTGCGAAAAGTTCAGCTTCGTCTGAGTCGCCGGCGCCTTCGCTCTCGCAGTAGTAGTCTTCTTGGCGGGTGACTTGGCTCGCGCAGGGGCTTTTGTTGTCTTCGCTGCAGGTTTCCTTGCGGGAGCTTTCTTCTTTTGTGAAGCTACGAAGAGGTCTTCGGCACTGTCATCGTCTTCTTCCTCTTCGGGTACTTCCTCGTCATCATCGTCGTCGATCATGATTACGTCGTCGTCGTCTTCGTCGGACTCTTCTTCTTCTACGACCTTCTTCTTGCCTCGCCCGCCCTTGGCCGCAGGTGCGGCCTTCTTGGGAGCTGCTGCTTTCTTAGTAACCGCAGCCGGCTTGCGGGTTGTGCCAGCTGCTTTGCCGCGTCCGCGGGTGGCGGCTTTCTTTGTGGGTATGGACGCTAAGCTCTCGTCATCGTCTTTCTCGCCTTCGTTATCAGACCTAATGATAGCGGCTGGCTGATCGACCCAGGACCCATCAAAGTCGCTATCCCATCCAGCTGGCTTGGGCTTGACCTTGGACTTCCGTGTCTTCTTCAACTGTCCGGAGGCGAACATGTCTTCTAATTGTTCTCGGTACTCCGCCATCTCCTTGACAATCTCCTCTTCTTCAACGTCATTTGCGTCCATGAGGTGCTTGAGCTGAGTGCTGAGACTCTCCTTCACAAACTGCTCCATGGCGTGCTTGTCGTCTTTGTCTACAAACTGCGACACTGCGTCTCCGAAGGAATTTTGTGGTAAGATCGTCAAGGTCTGGGCCGTAAGAAACTCCTTCACCAGCTTGTCGACCTTGACTGAGTCAATCGAGATCTCCGCAAGTATCTCCGCATCTGGCTCTTCGGCATTATTCTTCAACGCCCGGTTCGTTGCCTTCTTCTTCCGATGAAACTGTACTATGTCGTTGATGTTGGCGACCTTGCCCATGAACCGATTCGAGATGCGCTGCGGATTTTCACAGTGGAACTCGCCTCCTTGTGGAGCTGTGTATTCGACACGAAGCCGAACAAGCGGTTTCGGAGGGTCATCGTCATCTTCTTGTCGATCCTCCTGTAGTTCAAGCCAATCCCTCTTCGCTTCTTCGATAAGCTCCTCAATGACCTGGTTCAGATACTGGGTAATCTTTGCACGGTTATCGCTGACGCGCCAGAGCTCCTTCTCCTTAATCTCTCTCTCTTCCGCAAGTACGATTTCTTTCATGATGAAGGGTCGCACAGACTTCAGGCGGATGTTCTCGGTCGTGAATTCCTTGCCGGTGACGCTCAGAATGCAGACGTGCTTGGGGACCGCTTCTCCAGGCATGAGTGAGGTAGCAACGGAGGAGCCCGGCTGCATGACATGGAAACCCATCTCGGGGTTGTATCGCGGGTCAATCAGACATTCGTGTTCGTGGCCCCACACGACAAGGTCCATGAAATCGGGTAGGAAGTTCTCAGGAAGGTAGCTGGTAGGTGTATGCGCGTGGTGGTTTTGATGTACACTCATGAGGTTGAACCACTCGTCCTTTTGCGTACCAGGTTGAAAGAATTTCACATTACCGTCTCGCCAGGTATGAAACAACCGCTCGTCGCGAACATTGCTGAGACCGTAGAGAGCAAGCTTCGTGCCACCCTTTTGGAGCAGCACCGGCTTCACATTGATCTTATCGACTTCTGGGGTACGACCGAAATAGTTGACAAAGCCAGACGCCTGTAGTAGATCGAGCGGGGAGAATGAGCCTTCGCCTGACGGGTCATCGTGGTTGCCGTGAATGGCGAATACGGGTATAGCGATATTGATATCTTCGTCTTCGTAGTTGACATGGTCAAACATGCCTCCGAAGTTCTCGCTCGCATCGCTCAGCATCTCCAGTTCGCATGGCTTCTCTCCGAGACAATTCATACGCAGTGATCGCATGACTTGATACATGGATTTCCTCGACGGTTTGTTCTCGTGAAAAAGGTCTCCCGCATGCAGTACCATGTCCACATCGTGCTCTTTCGCTAGGCACATCACCTCGTGGAATGTTCTCCAGCTGTCGTCTTTTCGCTCAGCGTCGCGCTCGTTGTATCCGACATGGCTATCTGTGGCGACGAGTATTCGGATGGTGTCTGCGCCTGCATCGTCCATTAGCATATGCTTCCCGTCTCATCTCAGGTTCGCTTATACCTCGCTGCTGACCGCGTGCTCGTGGCGGCATGGTGGGCGGTTGATCGATTGTAAGAGACGTGGACTCCTCGACTCGTAATGCTGGCAGAGGCAATTCGGCGCCTCAAAGTTCCCCTGGGGCACTGCAGATGTATGTTCTCAGCAAACACGCCACTGCAGGCCAGAGAGTTGCGAGCAATCACTCACCATTCGCGACGCGCTTCCGCCTAAGCCAAGCCCTTAGCGTCCCCCGCGCTCTCACGTGCATCCTGAAGCCATCGGAAGCCGTCGAAAACATTCGCCGACCTCATCATTCACGCATAACGTCGCAATGTTTCCCACACGGGCGCTCTGCGCTCGATCGGTCTGGAAAGGTGAGATGCCGCCTGGAGATGTCCGTCTGTCAATGCCTATCAATCTAACTTTTCACAGGCCCCAATATCGTCCCGTAAGCCACTACAATCAAGCCCTGCGAAATGCGCCCTGATCATCTCGAAGTCTCCCGATAGCACAGAAGAAGGCGGGTGAACGCATGCCACCGATCAAGACACAAGCGCGCTCCGCTACCATATTACCGAACTTCGTCGGCCTCAAGTTCCAGATACACAACGGGAAGAGCTACCTGGATATCACCATAACGGAGGACATGGTAGGACGAAAGCTTGGGGAATTTGCGCCGTACGTCTACTGCACTTATGGTATCTGCGGGAGGATATCATAACGGAGTGCTGACTTTGATTCTAGGACACGGAAGCAGTTCATGTACAAGCAGACGAAGAACAAATGAGCAATGGGACGAATGTGCATCAAATGGGAGTTTGGGTATCATTTTGGTTTATCTAGAAGCCATTCTGTACTGCTATTGTACACATATGATGAGCCCTTCGTTGGGCGGGATGCCTCCATGTTCCGAATGACCAGTCCCTGCGCCTGTGATGCCGTCCAACGCCTAAAATGCATGTCGATGTCCCGAATTACCACATCCCGTCGTGTTCCAGTTTCATGGGTTCCTCTCCGTTGGTTGAAGGTCCTAGCGGTAGAACTCTCCGCGCTTGATGTTGACGCCGTATTCGCCTACTGCCATACCCAGGTCCTCCATAGTAAGCACGGTGCGTCCTTGATTGCCACCCTGGCCTCCACCTCCATATCCTGGGCGCTGGATGCCGAGGTTGTAGTCCTTGGCCTTAGAGCCGCTATCCTTGCCGCCAGGCGCACCACCAGGCGCTGCTGCTGCCGGCGCTCCTCCTGCGCCACCCATAGGGTTGTTACTTGTGGTGTTGGATGACCTGATGCGAGAGAACTGGTAGGCGTCGGCTGCGATGTCGGCGATGAACTTCTGTGTCGCGAGCGCAAGGAGACGTGCGAGGTGTTGTGATGTCTGAGGTGGCGGTGGCAGACCGGCGCGTGTCAAGTAATAGTTGGTCACTGCATCGGGTATCTGGGGGCCTGGTTAGTGCGCGATGCTTGGGGTGGAGACGGCATGTAACATACGATCGGCGCGTAGTCATCCATCTTGCCTAGGAACTCGCGCAATGTTGCGTCCTTCTTCGCAGGTATGCGCGCCTCAAAGGCGGCGGCAGAGTCTGCCATGCCGTTAACCGCTGCGGGTTCTGCATCATTTGCGCCGTCGAGGTTCATAGCGTCGGTTTCCAGTCGTGTCGCGTCTTGCTTGATCTCGTCGTCCACCGTCTGGTCTAGTTCGTCGTTGACCTCCATGTTCGTGTCCGGAGGTTGAGAGTTGGTATCGGACATAGTTGCGATACGAGTGATATGTGTTGCGACGTGGTAATGCGAGGTATGACGTGGGGTGGTTTGTTCGGGTTGCGGACTGCGGAGACAAGCGCGGGAGTGAACGCGCCCGCCAAGCAGCAGGGACGGTCACGTGACACAGTGAATGATTGGATCAGCCAACTTGACTCCACGACGATTCTACAGGCACGTACAATAGCTATTATCGCGTGTATCTTAAAAGTCGTAATACTTGTGTTATTGCGATCAGCTTATGCTACTTGTAGTTCCTCAGTGATTCTGCATCAGGAACGGATACGCCCCGTTCGGGTACTCCGGTCCTGGCGGAAGGCGTTCGCACTACGCCTGGATGGGAAACAACCTCAACGTCCATCCTCTGCTGTCATCTTCCGTTGAACCTCCCAGTCCCCTAGCAATAAAGCGACGAAACGCAGAGCTGGAGTCGGATGAAGCGGAAAGGTAGGAGGAATACCAGTGAGGGGAGATTTGACGGAACTAATGCAGATGTGTTCAGGGAAGTCAATGCGGCGCCCCGCAGAGCCTCAGCCAGGCCTCGGAAGCTTTCTGGAGCCAGGAGCATAACAGCCTACGAATTGTCTCTTCGCGCACGAACCCAAGGAACGTCGCCGACAACGACACCGTGATGGGTGTTGTGCGAGTCCCGTCTGTCTCTTGACATAGGGCAGGTGTGCAGCAGTCACGAAATCCTCTTGTCCACGACGTCGGTACGAGCGAGGGCTAAAGATACACCCAACATCAACAGCAGATGTAGCTCACACATGGCCTGTCAAATAAACGGTCTCGCGCGTAGTTGCGTGTCGGAAGGCTTGTCTACCGTGACAGCGTCAGAACGTTGCGGGAAACTCATCTCCTTCCCCACAAGCCCGGGCAGCCTTGTGCCACCATGTCATCCTTGTGTCACCGCTCTCACCGGAACCGTGGATGCTACTGGGTCGCCGACCTGACGATACTGAACTAAGTACGTCTACCATCGACAATTTAGCCTATCATTACACGGACCTGAAGAGCGGGTACGACGCCGACCACCCAGATGGCAAGGGCGAAAAGCAGAAGGTTTGGCAATTCTGGTAGGAGCAACACGCGCTGCCACCTGGAAACACGTGATCGACGCTCAGAGCTGGATTAAAGGCTATACTCTCGTACGAGGTCATTGCAAGCTCGGAGTGGAAGAATATCTGTAAACGCTTCCAGAGCGGCCGACCAGCGCAGCGAGATGCGCTATTGCGCCTTGCGCAAGAAAGCTTGTGTGGCAATTGAGACATGCATCGATACAGACGCTGCTTTCAGCTCCATGATGCGAGACGCCTTCACGCCTTCCAATTCGAGAGATAACTAGCCGGATCCAATTTTGTGAGTAAACCTGAAGGGTCTTTCTGCCGCTTGCTGATCAAATTCCACAGTTTGTTCAGATACGTAATTTTGGATTGTATCCGTACTAGAGCCATACCGGCATCGTGGTAGGTCGGCGATCTTACAAATTGGTACCATAGCAGATAAAGTGCTTTCTACCAAGAAAGCTTCGCATCCTTCCCGTGGCCCGCGTCCGCGTCATGCCTCACCCGCTCTTGCATCCGTAGCGCTGACACTGTTTTGAGGCGTTCACTTTATTACATCCCTTCACCAATTGTGCGGACGTTGTACAACCGCAACCTGATCTAGATCTGGGGGCCTTACGTCTGCATGTCCACAATTCGGGTGTCTAGCGCAACGTATCTATATTGGAGATAAAAAAGGGTCTCCGAGGCCTGAGGCTAATTACCCGGCTAGGCTAGCCCTCTGCAGGTTACTGGAGACAGCTGTGGCGCATGCGCTGGCCTTGGCCCCACCAGACGAGGCTTGCAATCCACTACCACCATCTCATGAAAACGACGAAGACTATATCGTGCACAAACACCGCAGCAGCTGCTTGGGTGTCTGATCAAATTCTCCAGAAACGAAATTACCGAACTCGCGTCACGATCAGCCACTACATCGGTTCGTTCCAATGATTCCAAGGTCATCTTCATGAGATGGTGCCACAGCACCGCACAGTCGCGTAGTGTATGGACAAGCCTTGCATCCGCCGCGACTACTAAGGCCCGCTCCGCGCGCTACTGTCAGGCGTTCCCCTTTGCTCCGTTGGCTAGTATCCCTGCTGCAAACCGCGAAGATGACCCATGTGAAGAGTAGAGGCACGCTGGTACTCGGGGCCGTCGATACCACAGTCAAGTCTGACCCACGTCGCACAGCAATCTACACTCGAATTGACCGGTTCGTCTCTAGGGCTTACATGGACTTCCATGCCGGTTTCACTTCGAATAAAGACCTCATGCAAGGCCTCCAACGTTGACATCACATTGAAGCCTCCTCGGCGTTCATCTCTAGTTCAATTCATCACAGGAACGTCGGTCTATGGATGGAGAAGCCCGACGGGCCGATATCTGCTAACGAGAACGCAAGGATAATCCACTTCGTGAAGGGCCACAGCGTCTCGAAGATTGTTTTCGGCCCACGAGCAAGCAGTGCCAGCCTCTCGATGGCTAGACTCTCTCCACCAGGGCTTTCTGCCATAGCTCTCAACTCAAGCACCGGGAGTCTAGCATAGCCATCCTCCATCTATAAAGCAACCTGCCTCCCTCTTCTCAATTCTTCATCCACTCACTCCTCAAACCACTTCATTCACTCTACAACCGCAAAACTCAACCCGCAAACCTTCAACATGCAGTTCACCCAGATCCTCCTCCTGGCCATTGCGCCTTTCATGGTCGCCGCCACCCCAGTCGACGCTGAGGGTGTCACTTCCGTCAACAGCTTCCCCCTCGAGGCCCGCGGCGGCAAGGACTTCTGCGGAAGTGATCTGCGCTCTGCTGGCGGCGCTTGCACCTTCGGTGGTGGCGAGAACGACCCCCACGCTTGCGGTGTCAAGGACAGGCAGGTCGTCGTAAGTGTCTCCAATGAATAATCTGCGAAACTGAATGCTAACAATTGTAAAGTTGTACTGCAAGGGCGGTATCTGGACCATCGACCACCGCTGCGCAGCTGGTCAGATTTGCAGGTGCAACAAGGGTACTCCCAAGCGTGGCGACCTGGTTTGCAAGTCTGGTTAAATTACTGGTTGCTTTTCGGTCACGAGTGTCAAAGAGTGGAGTTTGAGGATTGCAAGGACGTGTGGTGGAGAAGTCTCTCATTCAAGGTTATATACCGCCAACTTATTTGACAACGTCTTGATACAATGAAATCGTTCGAGAAATCATCGTACTCATCACCATGTTTAAGGATCTTCGACTTTCGTGCTGTATCGCCCAGATCGTGTTTCTATATCCTTTTTGCACGATCGCGCGTTGTGTCTAATCCCTCCACAGTTTCGGAGCTCCACTTAGCAATCTAGACTCTTTCTGGAAAAAAAGTGGTGGCTGAGGTTGGTAGTTATCGTATCATGGTTCCTTGGTATAGAGAGTGAGTACCCAGGTAGTTGCTGATAGCATGGCGCGCACGGACGCGGCAGGCGCGGAGGGGCCAATCGGAGTGGTTGTGCCTCAACTACTTACAATCATCAGATCTCTCTGCGACACGCTCTCCACTTCACCTTGCGGGACTCATTATCGTTTTGATAGCCGAATCTACATGCGATCCTATAGAACCTATCAGAAAGCAAACAAGACGACTTCGACTGGGTTCACCACGACTTGGTTGGGACCCCCGCTTTGACAAACGCTCCGCAGCACCTGACCCAGGCAACGAGCCAGCTTCAAAATGAGGGTTCAGCCTTGTCCCAGCTGCACTTCCAGCTGCGCACACCCCCGGGGAAGACGGCGGCGTGTCATCCGTCCCTGCAGTAGCAACTGCGCGATTCCCATTGACTGACACCCCATATCGACATCAGCCAAATCAACTTAGGATTCTGCTCAGGCCCCAATACATCAACAGAACTATCCAGACGCTGCTAAAGATCCTCCGCTACTGACCACAAACTGCGCGTGATACTGCGCTGTATCCGTTTTCCTCTAACATAAAGGCACCACGCCGCACCACGACACCAAACTGCAAGCGACTCTGCAAGCCTTCTTGTGGAAGGAGCCATCTATCGAACAGGATATTCCAAATCATGGCCGCTCTTACTGATCTACCCCCAGAAATCCTAGAGCAGATCTTCCATTTCCTCGGAAGCATCGACGACGTCCACCATCTTGGACGCACATGCACCAAAACCCACAAAGTCATTCAACATCGCAAAATCTACCTCGAAATTATGCGCTCGATTCTTTACTTAACACCCCAACACCGCTACGACTTCCAGCTCAACAGAGCCTTGTTCCTCCATTCCAAAATCGTTGGGCACTTCCAACACCACACGTCGCGCTTGCCCGCCAGCCAACCTGGAATCAATAAGAACAACTGGGAGCATTATCTAAACAGTACGGCGAATGCATGCTGCTCGCCACAAGAATGGACAGATGATGCAATCTATGATGTGCTAGCACGTTACCAAGGGTTACGCGTGCTGGAGAACACGTGGATGGAAAGGGAACTCCAAGAACAGGACTTCTTGTCTGTAGATCACACATCGGATGCTCAGCGGCTCGTGCATCGATTTCAAACGCTCGTTGGCCGTGGCGATGAGTTCACATACGACGATATGCCTCCACGCAATCCGGAAACGCCACACACATGGGGTTATCGCAGTCTCAACGCCGACCAAAGAGGACGATTCTATGCCGCGGTAGTGTGCATCTGGCTTCTCAACGAGATCAGATGGGTGCTGACACACTTTTCATACCCGGCAAACTTCACTATCCAGATCGGGATCTTGGAGTCGTGCAAGAGCAGGATTGCAGCAGAGAAAGATACCCCACTGCTGGATGAGCTGGACCGTCATGCTGTGTTTGCTTTCATGTATCAGCATGTACTTCCACTTCATGCCCTATGCCTCGCCGACGCTAGTACCACGTACCTGCCCTTCACATTTGTCTCCGACTTCTCCAAGGACATGGCTCACTGTCCTAGGTACGTATCGCGCATCAGCAACCCCATTTCATGCAACACTCGATCGTATATGTACTGACCACCGCGACAGACTACTCCAGCTCTTCCTAATGTCCGGCCAAACCTACTTCCAACCCCCCGACCTGATCGATCTCATGGTCCGCTCCAAGGCATCCCGCCGCCAACCTTACCCCACCCTCCACACGCCCCGTTCAACCATGCTATGGAGACACCCTCGACGAACTCACTTCCAGCCCCACAATGACCTCTGCCTTGAAGTCAACAAGGCGCATATTCAGCATAATTCGATGCGGCATCTCACGCTCATCACGCGCTCTTCCTTCCACCAACACCGCTACGATATGAGTCAAGGGCTTATTCGTGCTCCGGCGCTTGGCGAGGCGTTGTTCAGAGTACCGGATCACGCGAAGCGGTATTTTTATGATCGGGCTATGGTGGCGTTTGAGATGTGGGAGACGAAGCGGACGGGGTTGAAGGATATACGAATTGTGTTTCCTAAGAAGTGGGAGGAGATCAGGTGGTGCGTTTGGTGGTGGGCGGGTAGTGAGGAGAAGGCGAGGATGAAGATGGAGAGGTTGAGGGAGACGGTGGGGTCGCAGTAGCGCGAATCTGTGCCGCAAAGTTCCTTACGGGAAAATGCAAGAGAGCCTGTGACTCAGGTATTGGAGTCTTCTGGTACTGGACTCATTTTGACGCGGGACGTGCACGATAGTAGAGGTTCAGGTGAAGCTGTAGTCAGCTGCCTCGTATACGCGTACCTGAACATCCTGGGCCAATCTACGCATACTGCATATCCGGGGTACATAGCGGTTACTCATGGTGCCGAACATCGAACGCGAAAACACAAAAACACAAAAACAGCTCAACAACTCGGACAACCTGAGTCGTTGGCAAAATTGAATTCCCTGTTGCAGTTTGCATGTGCCATCATGTGACGTGACTATTTTCGTGTATGTGGACTAAGACAATTGCGGGCCGGAGCGAGGCATTGTGGCTGGGATTGTGGCTGTCGTCAAAAGGAATCATCGATCTAAGGCCCGAAACTTCTAAGCCTCAGGCCTGAATGCTTATGGAATTAGAACAGGGCAGCAATCATGACGCAAATTCTATCGATCATGGATGATACCTGAGATACGCATGTTAGGCATCCATTTGACATCATTGTGGCCTGCTTGTTGCTGGACTGTGTTTGAGAATGACTCTTAATTTACGCGTACTTGGATGCCGAGGCGCATTTGGCCTCGAGGTGTGGCGGAACGTCCAAACCCCATGTCATGAACACCATGTCGACGTTGACGTGCAGCAACACGCGCCTTGGTCTTGCTTCATAGAGTTAAACCATTTACAACGGGATTAGCATCCGCAGCTTATCAGTTCCAATGCATCGGGTACAGCGGGTAGGATGGGTGAAGACATAGTGGTGCTCTTGGTAGAGCGGAGAAGGTGGACAGTTGAGGACTAGCTGGCCAGGCATAACTATGAAGGCTTGTATATCGCAGACAGACAATACGGACTGCTAGGAGCTCGCGGCAGAAATCGGGAAGGTCAATGGCCGGTATTCCGTTTTCCCGTAGGCACAGGGATCGATAGATGGCTCGCTCGTGCTGCCGACCATTGGCATAGGAACATGAAAGTGCCGGCACAACACGGCCCTCACCGAGGCGCCCGATGTCCCAAGATCCAAGGCCAATTGGGTGCAAGCAGGTGCGCTGACATGAGCAGACGGCGAGATTTGCTGTTTGTTGGAGCGCAGGCAGCCATGTATAAAACAGCTTTTGGCAAGTGAGGGGTCGAAGATACTCGCGAGACGTCATTGGCGTGTAGAAGCGCGTCAACTGCGCTGCTGGAAAGTGAATGCAGAACCACGATGAATGCGAGGGGTGTCAACGCAGAGGCAGCCATAGAACAGGCCAGCGACATGTCAGCTGCTAGCAGCTACACGGCGGCTCTCGGGCGCTGGGCGAGGGAATAGTGAATGCGCCGAAGTAGCGTGGGCTGTCGGGTTCTCTTAGAGCACCACCTTAACGAAGAAAAATTCGCGCTTGAGAGTGACCCTCTTTCTCCCACCTACGCTTGCTTCTCCCGCACACACGACAGCCAATTTTCTTGCCTGGCGCCCCGTCTGCCTTGATCACGTCGCATCCGACCCTCAGACGCCGCCTCAGCCCGCTCCGTCGCTGTTGCACGTACGCCAGACGAGCCTGTACCGCAACCCTCGTGTGCCTGGAGCCCGTACCTCACTGCACCCTCCAACCCTCATTATCCGCCCGCAACCCACCACCCACCCCGAGCACTCCGCCGACGCAGTCACAGCTGCCCTCTCTGCGCGCCTGCCCACCCCGCCGCCCACGCAGACTCGCTCCAGAGGTTAGTTCCGCCCACAGCACCGCCCACGCCCGCCGCACGCTTGCTTCCTGCCTTGCTCCCCGCCTCGAGTTTGCTCGGCACTCTGCGCAACACTCCTCCCCTTCTCCGCCTTGCAGCCTCTCCCAGTGGCGCTCTGTCTTTCACTCGCGCTCCTTCCCGCTTAGTTCTCGGCGGCCCACGCAGTCATTTCGACTTGTCGTGCGCTCGCTCCCAGTCCTCCACCACAACTGCCCACGTCACTTGCTTCCACCACCACGCCTTATATGCTGCCCACACTGCGCTTGTAGCACCTCTGTCCTTCGCTAACCCCCGTCACTGCAGTACGCGCAATTACCGTCACAGCCGCCAAACAGCGAAGCAGGAAGCATTTACTTTCCTCACATTGTGCGAGACCGCCTCGGTACAAAGCCCTCGTCTAGCACACTGCCCAGCTCTCCATCAGTGCAGAGCTATATCGTCGCCGCACCGCTTAGTCGTCAACGCAAGGCTTGTTAGCAGCAAAGAGATTTGCGTGCGGGGAGGTCAAGAGCAACCTCTCCGGACATACCAGCGTCAACACCTGTTGGCCAGCTTGCCGCAGCGCTCCCATCGGGGACCCTAAGCGCTTACTCTCGTCTTACCAGCCGGACTTTAGTCGAGATCCACACAAATTCCAAAATGGCCTCCACATTTTCATATGCGCAAGCCGCGAAGGGCGTCGTCACGCCTGCCACCACGAGCAAGTCGGCATCCGGCT